TGTCCGGGGTGTGTTCGGGGTGTGGCCTGCAAATTACAAATCACGATGCTACGGACCCACTTTGCATACCCCAGAACACACCCAAAAGCTTCAAAAGTTCTGGTTTGCTGCAGTTTAAATAGTAATGTCTTGACTAAGGCAAAACCGCATTACAAATTTCCTTTCTAATGCTGAGCAAATTTGTAACGCGATTTCTACTAGTACGATCACGATGCTTTTGCATTTCATAATTCTGCGTCGCTGGCAACGCGAAGAGGAGGCCGAGGAACAACGAGGCGTGATTATCGACGAAGGTGGAGCCGATAAGTATTCGGATGTTGATTTTTTACCACTCCCGGCGTTCGTCGAGGACGATCTTTTGCGCGAGGAGGGGGATGAAAATATAAACGACAAACACGTCCAGGATTTCCAACACGACGACGACTTCGACCTAAGCCACCCAGCCGACGTATCAAATGCAGAAATGTCTGGGTCTGGAGCAAAGCAACTTGTCATGCTAAATCTGAATCATGTAAAAATCAGTGTTGCGTGATTACCAAAAGCTGTCCACTTTTGACCTAATCGAGAGGCAGTTTCTCATGCAGGACAGGCATGATAGAACTCTCACGGATGAATCTGTCATGCTATGTCCTACATACCAGACCTCATGGGCCATGGAAAGCCTGCGTAACAAGTCTGGCACTCTTTGCAGTTGATACGACGAGGACAACCGCGACCAGCGACCCCCGATCATCGAGTTCAGAGAGGACGGGCACGAAGATTATCACACAGAAAAAAGCCTGCAGGGCATATTTGTAATGCAAAAATAAACACACAGAAAAAAAATGGGCGGCCTCATAGCATGCGACTTAGGATATGCAACGCAAATTTTTTTGTCAATTTATTTTTGCATTACAAATATGACCTGCCAGCTTTTTTCTGTGTGACAAAGATTTTGTATTGCCGAAGGAAGATGACTTAGAGGTACCAATCGAAGACGACGTAGAGCAGCAGTTCGAGCAGGAGGAAGAAGATAATATCGAGCCGGATCCGGACGAAGAGTCTTTCTTTGAAAGTCGACGTATTAAAACGACAAGGAGACCACAGGGTAAGAGCAATAAACTGGTAGGAGCCAAGAACATCGAAAGTAGCCCGCCGGACGAGGAAAACCGCGCTAACATCCTCACAAGCAGCAGCAGCAGCAGTAGCAGTCTTGGTGCTGCTAGTACCTCCAGCTCCACCTCACCAGGAGGAAAAAGCTCGTCTAGATCAACGAAGCCAGATGAAATTACCACTACGACCACTTCTTCCGTGGACGATCTGTCTGAGGAGGAGCTGTTGGAGCTTGATGCACAGTGGAAGTACCCCAACCTCACGCAGGAGCAGCGGAAATCCTTGCTGTACTTCGCCCGCCACCCGGGCTGCTCGTCCCTCTCGCTGGACCAGGATCCGGTGCTGAAGCACCTGGTATCCCAGTCCGTCTACGAGAAGGCCGCGCTGAGTGGCGGCGTGGACGCGCTGCGCAAACTCGTGCCCGGCGCGCGCGACGAGCAGCGCAAGTGGGACGCGGCGGCGCACCTGCGGGACCAGATCATGGGCCAGAAGCGGGAGGCGGACTTGGTCGAACGGGCGCTGAAAATCGCGGTCGTGGGAGTGCCCAACACCGGGAAGTCCAGTCTGATCAACGCGCTGCTGGGAAAACAGCGGGTGATCACCCACTTTGAAGCGGGGACCACGATCGATTCGGTCACCTGCGAGTGGGTGTATCGGGGGCGAAAAATGAAATTGATCGACACCTGCGGTGTCTACCGGCGGGGCCGCGAGATCCAGGACCCGGAAACCGGGAAGTCCATGATCGAACCCGGTATGGGAACGGTGAAAGCGATCCGGCGAGCGAACCTCGTGATTCTCTGCATCGATGCCACCATGTACAGCACCAATCCGCATTGCACGCCGAGCTCCCGGTATCCGAGAAAAGAAAGACGATTGTACGGTGTAACGTTTTTTGGGGCAACAGCATGACAAATCTTCTGTCTAGCATGAGCGGATAGCACGTCGAACCTGTCATGCGCGGATAGCACTTCAAAACCACCACGCGCTTGAGTGGACGCTGTAATCCATGTCCAGCATGACAGACGCAATCATCTTGCGTCTTGCGCATCACAAAGTTACACTAACAATGTTTCTTTCCTGTATACCCGGGAAATCAAGATTGCGAAGTTGATCACGCGGACGCAGTATGCTTTGCAAATATCGATCTCAGTCTGGATTTGTGATGCGAAAGTTGAAGGAGTGATGCATGGCTAGTAATGACGACTTTTTTTGTCATGCTGTGAAACTCAGTTTGTCATGCAAAACACGCTAGAACAAACGAAACGACGCGCAATTATACCACCCGAAAAATTTGTGATGCGTGGATGCCGTACAGAGCAACGCTCTGTCATGCAAGACTCAGCAACACAAAGCCGTTGCGTCTTTCCAGAGGACCGTAGACATATTTGCAGTGGATACGCAGGAGCGGCCGCTGATTGTCTGCGTGAACAAGTGGGACCTGGTATCCTATGTAAAAACGTCCCCACCCCATAGTTGTCATGCAGATTTGCATCTACAGAAAATCTGTAATGCGCATTCCCATGAGAAAAATCAAATTTGAATTTCTAGTCGTGCTCTGAGATTTGTAATGCTGCAAACAGGATAAGAGGGCGTGTTTGTGATGCGGCTGTCCTTGCTAAACTGCACTACCCTACAGACGGAAACGTGTCATGCATAACTCACAAAACTTGGAGACTTGTGTTGCACACTTACCAACTGGACTACGGGGTGGGGACGTTTTTACTCAGGATGCCTGGTAAAGGAGGGGCCGGAAAAGCGGAAATACCAGGAGGAGATCTTGCAACGGCTGAACACGGGGGTGCACGAGTGCCTGGGGGACGTGCCGACGGTGTTCTGCTCCGCGAAATTTCAGCAAAATCTCGCCGTCTTGATGGACAAAGCGCTCGTGTTGGAGAAGCGGTCCTCTGCGCGGATCGCCACCGCGAAATTAAATCAGTGGTTCCAGGCGTGGTCGCAGCACTGGCCCGCGCCGTGGAAGGACGGGCAGAAACAACAGGTAAAGTACGTCTCGCAGGTGCGGTCCCGGCCGCCCACCTTCGTGATGTGGACGAATACGTGGGGCACGTTGCCGCAGAACTACTTGCGGCACATGTGCAAGGCCCTGAAGGACGAGTTTAACATGCGCGGGACGATCCTGCGCGTGGTTTTGCGGACCACGCTGATGCCGAAGCTGAACAAGAAACTCACGCGGGAGGAGCTGACGAAGTGGAAACGGATGGGGCCGCGGCAGGCGGAGGCAGCAGTGAAACAGTTCAAAAAACGCTTTCCGGAGCGGATGCGGTCGGAAACCTCGTGAGGAGAGTAAGTACTTATAGATCCGAGGCGAAAGTACTAGATCAGGCAAATATAATTGCGCAGCCTAGACAGATTTTTTTGTGACCACCTACAAACCGAGAGGACAAGACAGAGTGGCAAACAAGGAGAAGGAAAGCACCAATGATCTGTGTGAAGGTCTTAAGGTACAGAAGAGCTTTTTCGCCGAAAGCAAATAAGCTGTGTAGAAGAAGAAACTCGGTTGACAGAATAAACAGAATCGAGAGCAGGCTTTAGATGTCAACATCGAAAGTCGGTGAAATCACGAAGACAGCAGCTTCACACAAGATATAAAATCGGTAGCTTCAACACGTGGTTTCGCTTGGCCGCGTTGTACAACTCGCGCATGAAGACTTCGATCGACCGTGCGAAATCGCAGTGAAGACCACAGTGGGTTTTTAGCCCATATACGGTTTCTTTAGGATTCTTCGCTACACTTCTTGTTTCCACTCGAAAGCATTTATTTTTACACCAAGTGTAGAAAAAAAGGGCTTCATACAGTTTGTTGAATCACAGCACAAAAGAGTACTTCGTTCGCGCGAGTACAGCCAGATCAAGCTCGTACTAGCACAACTTAAAATACCGTCAGACACTATAATCTTCAGAAGCTTTATCACAACCGTCGTGTTGTTGGTGCCGAAGGAACCAGAACAGGTCCAAGAAGGATCATGTCGCGCTACATTACCGAGCCTGACTTTGATGTTTATCACTCGGAGGGAGGCCACCTGGGCGTTCGCGAAGCGCAGTTGACCGCCAACGCCTCTCTTGTGAAGTCCGAGTTTGAGACCCAGAAACAGCTGGCCGGGGACTTGAAAGCCAAGTTGGACCGTGGCGATAATCTTGAATTTCAAGACAATGAAACATCTTTGCCTTTCGGCCCCAACGATGCCGAGGACCGCGAGGAGATTTTCCGCCTCCACTCGTGGGCTCTGCGCATGCGCAACATCGTGCGTGTCGTCAATCGCGATCACGCCAAGGATATGGAACGGAAGCAGAAAGAGAGAGCCGAAGTGGACGACGAGATCGCGAAGTACGTGGGTATTATCGCGCGCATCAAAGCGGTTCGGGAAAATTTGAAAACGCAAGGAAAGCTTCCGCAGCCGTGTTTGATCGAGGGGTGCCTCGCAGCGGGCAACATGTTGCAGTACTGGCGGCATGTGAAGCAGGAAGCCACGAAGCAGAACGACGACGAGTCTGATTTCGTGGAGGGGCCTCCAGCGAAAAAACAGAAGAGAGACCGCGTGGTCGTGGCAGAAGCCGGCGACGCAGGGGAAACCAACGAGCAGTCCGAAAGCGGGGGCCCGGAGGCCGGTTTGCTGGAAAGCCCTGACTTTGTTCGCTTCTATGACGAGATCAACCGTTGCTGTGCGGACGTGTGCGCCCTTCACAATGGTGGGGGGACGTCGCTCTCGCCGAAGCTGATGACAATGGTTTCCGCTTGCTTGGCCGCGATTGGTGGCCAAGAAGATCGCTGGACCGCGGGCGCCTGCGAACTGCGGCGCGACCTCCTTACTGCCGTGACGCAGTTTTTTTTTCTGGACAACACGGACTGGATTGCCGACACTGACGAAAAACAGGCCACCATCCAAGTTCTCTTCAAGCGGCTGCAGGACCGCTGGACAAGCTTGCTGCGGTGTCGCAATCTGCAGGTGGATGCGTCGCTCCGGCGGTTTGTAGCGTCGCTTCAAGGGCTCGGCAGTGACTTTGATGATTTTTTTCCGGTCCCCTTCGAGTTCCGCCTTGCGGCCCCTGGCGCACCTGCTGTAGCGTTGGACCCATATGACATTCTTTATGAAGAGGTCCTTCTTGACTCGATGTGGATGTTCCGCGGCGATCATGTCTGGACCTGGCGGGGCCGTCATGACGTGACGGAGCTGGTCGACTACGAGCCTCCACCGCCGCAAGCTGGCGCTGTCCGGGGCAAGAAATGGCCGCTGAAGGAAGCCGCAGACCTCTGCCTGGGGATGTGCAGGAAAGGAAGAGACAAGCAGTGGTGGTTTGTCGACGTCTGCTTGAACCCGCCGGGCGGCGCCTCGCCGAAAAAGTACAAGCATTGGGTGGCCTGGAGTTCGGCTTTTCCTCATGTGGATCCCCCCGCGTCGAAAATCGAGGTGGAGAGCGCTGTCGTAGGAAAATTGCGTGGCGAGGAAAAGCTTCAAGGCGGGGAGCATCGGGGGTGAGCACGCCGGCGCCAGCGCTCTCGTCTTCCACTGCGGTTTTGGACTATGCGTTTCATCTTTTTGAGTTTTGTGTAAGCATACGTACTAATATTAATTCGGAATTATGATCTCCTTGTAGATCTGTCTTTCAATGTAGCAGATCATATAAGTAACTACTTACCGCTTTCAGAAAAACTCGCGTCTTGTTGCGTTTGATATTAAAATTTCGCGAACTTACCAAAATTGTTTAAACCCCGCTTGCTTGTACCATCGTTTAGTTCGCATTGCTACGGAATTGATTCAAAATTCCCTCTGGGATTGTGCTTTTCAATGTATTCGGAATTTTCCGTGAATGCAATCAATGATGTGAGGTGCGTTTCTCGTTTCTTTCTGTTGACCATAGCAGTACTAGTCAGCACCCACAGGAGGTATGAGCTATCTTCTGGAGACGAACGTGATGACGTTTAGCGCACTGACATTTCTCTTGCTGTCGGCTAGTAGCCATAAAAAAGTACATGTGCAGCTCCGTAAAGGAGGGTCGACCACCTTCAGACACAAGAGAGATACTTAATGCGGCGTCTGATATTTTAATTTTTTTAGAGACCGACCGCACATAGTTTCATAGAGCGCCGTTCGCCTTGTATCACGAAGTGTATTAAGTAGTGAAAGACAGTGAAAAATAGTATCTCGGTTTCATCCTGCTTCAACTCTTAGAGCTCGACCTCCTGAAGAGGAGGTCGAGTTATAGAGAACCTCTATCGGAGAACACGATACGCCTATCTGCTCCTGCACGCTATGGCGATTGTGACGGCCGGACGAGGACGTGGGGAGAGTAAAAATGCGTTTATGGACCCAGAAAAGCATTTGTAGACAGGTTCTTGAGCAGGTTGTGGCTACTGGAGATGTAGTGTTCGCTTAGGCGCCATGTGGCGCCCTGTCACAAACGACAGAATGATCGTTGGCCTCGAAGCTCCTTTGCAAAAACTCGGTCCTAAATTTGAGCGAACGCATAGCTCGGTGTTGTCTCGGTCATGGTAAATTTCTGTGAGAAGAAGCAAGAAGCTGGATCCATCCGTGAAATAATTATTCGGGTAATTTCGGACGAACACCAACACAGCATGTCAAGAAAACAAAGCAACTGTACTAGGTATGCAACAAAATCATGCCGAAGATCGCAAATCATGGTCATAAAAGAAAATGAATTTTCGTGAAACAAGCCTCAGTTCACCTCTAGAGATCCCCCAAAACGAACTGCGCGTTTCTCGTGAAGACGCTGCATGAGCAGGTACTTAAATTGCAGAGATCAACAACACAACTACTGCACTGCGGCTTGCTTTTCTCTACTTTTCAATACACGTAGCTTCGAACAAATCGAAAACACAGCCACAGTGAGTTGACTCTGACTATACTCAATATCACGCTTTTGATTCATTTCTACTGATAACCACGAAGATTTTTCCCCCCGATTGTACTAATCCTCTCCTGCGACTTTTTATACGATTTTTTTCTCGATTCCACCACGACATCAATCATTCATCGGAACTACAGCCCCTAGTACCCACAACCATGGCAACATCAACATCTTCCTTTCCCAGCACCACGTCGTCGCCCCCCACGGCGGCCCAGCAGTGGGGCAAGAACGACGAGAGTTCATCACTTCTGAAAGCCACCGTGAACCTGGACGGCGCCGACCCATCGCTCTTCGACGGCCAAACGAGCGTTGACGACGTGGAATTCGCGGCCCAGTTTGCGCAGTTGGAACTGGCCAAGAAGGATGAAAATACTATCACGGGGGCGGCCGCGAAGAACAGTACCGCAAGTGGTAGTAACCCGTTCAGCCGCGCGGGGCTTGCGGTGCCCGCAATGGACGGGTTTGACTTCCAGTTTGACGACGAAGAGGAGCCGGAGAACATGATGCAAAAGTACGTCGAGTCGGCGCTGCAGGCAACGGGGTTGGACTTAATGCCCGCCAGTGAAGACGAAGGCGACGACGATAACATGGTTGTGCCATTGAATCTTGACCAACAACTGCACACGTCGGGGACCTTGACCTCCAGCAGCAGCGGCCCCGCGGGTGGTCAAATGAGCACTCTTGACGCGAAGAAGCTCGAGGCCAACGAAAAATTGATGGACGCGGGGCGGAAGAACACGGAGCACCTGCCGCAACTGGTCGATACGGCGAAGGTGCCGACGCCCAAAGCGGGGAAGGTGTTGTCGACTTTCGACAACTTGATCGTGGTGCAGGCCCCGCTGGAGGCCCGGGCGCTGGACTTGAAGTCGATCTTGTGCCTCCCGACCGGGGACGTGGTGGGCATGGTGGTGGACGTGTTTGGCAACATCCACCAGCCGCACTACCTGGTGTTCCCCACCAACGCCGATTTGGACAAGGAACACTACGCCGTCGGGGTGGAGCTCTGCTACGTGAAGGACCAGTCCGCGTACGCGATGGATTTCGCCCCGGATGTGTACGAGCTGCACGGGAAAAGGCCGACGGAGGGGCAGGAGGATAGCGACGTGGAAAACGCAGAAATCGTAGGGGACGAAAGCGACGACGAAATTCATCTTGCGGCACCGGCGTAAGAGAAGAAGTTGGGGACCACGGAATGATTTGGTGGAATTTTTATGCGAGAAAATAAAAGTGACTGTGACTGTGTGTTGCTGTAGTTGCATATACACAGCATGATGAAGAAAGGGCAAGTTTGATTGCCGCGATAAAGAGGTTAGTAAAAACGACTATACACGATCATGATGAACAAGAGCGCGATTTAGAAAGACATGCAACAAAAGCAAAAGAAAACGAGCTTGAAGAGCTGGCTGCTGTTCTTTCTGAGTAGGGAAGTCGTCTGCATTTTTTAGGGGTGTTCATCTTCGTGGCTGTGATTTCGTCTTTCTTCAAGCACTACTTCAAAATCACAAATACAACTGTGAGCCTGAATTGAATCCAACCCATAGAAGTATCTATAGGCCTGTGCTCGTCCTCTCTCACGAGCGGTCGTAGCCAAATAATCTGTTGTTTGCGAAACTCACAAAACTATTTTTCGTACCCCCTGAATGACGTGTGCGAGTGTGAGGCCCACACCCAAGTCCGAAAAAACCTAGCCTCGTAACAGCCGCACCCTTATGGTATAGATCAACTGTTCGTCATAGAGGATCGGCGTTCAGCTGCTCTCGGGCTGGAGGAGGGAGTAGCACGCAGCAGTCCGCTAAAGGGCACACTGCCAACATCATCATCATATAATCTCGAACTCGTCGTCTACTACAGAACTTCCAAAATAAAAACATGAGCAGTTCTTTCCTGAACTTGAGGCCTTGCACGACACTGCTGGCAACGTTCTTGCTTCTCCCGTTTTGTTTACATCTCCTCCCTGTCACCACCGCTGGTCGCCCATCTCGGGACGGGGATGCTGTGACTGCGCCGCCCGATAACGATTGGGAGTACTACTGGGGGCGAGGAGCGGGTCCAACTCTTCTGGAAAACAAGCGCGGGAATAACATGGTGGTTCCGCCCCCGCCCGGAGCTGTACCCGCCACGAAGCTGCAGGTTAAAAACGTCGGACATCAGGGAACTACAAGCAAAGTCGTGCTGCAGAAGGATCTCTCACAAGAACTGCTGCCGCGGGGTACCGATTCTACCCCAAGTGAGGTTCTTGTGGGTGGTGGTGGTGCACAGCCATCGCAGAATCCGGACGAAAACGACATGGCAGTGAAGGTGATGCGAAATTTCTGGAAAAACCAGCAGCCGGGCGGCCTGCGGGATGTCATGGGGCAGAATGGCATTGCGACAGCGAATCAACAAGAATCTGCGGAGGTCGCCGTGGAGCATCAAGAGGAGAAAGGGGAAACGGAAATATTGAATAAACCTTCTTCATCTACTAGTTCTAGCGAAGACGAATTTTTACCCGTAGTGCTCGGCACCCCCGCGCGGAGCCTGTCTTCCTTTGCGGGAACTACAGCCTCCATGGAGGACGAGGGCCAGCAACCCGACCGGCTTTCCTACGAGCCGAGTAGGGGGCGACTCACGGCCTCGCAAAACGTATGGATTGCAAATATGTCTGGGTCTGGAAGAATGCAACTTGTGATGCTATTTCTGGAAGCTACAAAAATCTGTATTGCATGAGCAGCAAGAGGCGTCCAGTTTTTGCTCCGCGGAGCGGGCACTTGTCATGCTGGATAGGCATCAATAGTCCCGCAAAAAATCTGTCATGCTAGGTCCTCCATTACAGGCATCGTAGCTCATGCGAAATATGCATGACAAACCTCGAAATCTTCCAGCCCCAGACATTTTTGCATTTGATAAAACGCCGCCCGGGACAAGACGGCAAAGGAGGTTTTGAACAACCTGTGGCAGCAGCCGGGCTTTCAGCGGGCTATCAAGTGTAAAAATGTCTGGATCTGGAAGATTCTGAGGCTTGTCATGCATGTTTTGAATTGGCCATTATATCTGTGATGCATGCCCTAGCATCACAGATTTTGCGCGGGCTTCGCGATGCCTATTCCGCATGACAAATGCCCCCTCCGCGTATCAAAAATTACACTCCCTTTGCTGCTCATGCAATACAGATTTTTTTGGAATCCAAATTTAGCATCACAAGTTGCATTCTTCCAGACCCAGACATTTTTACATTTGACACGGGCGCGGATGCAGCACATGATTGCCGAGGCGGTGAAAAAATCGAACGAACCCGGGGGGTTTCCTATCAAAATGAAAAATCCCCTCTCCCCATATCAAAAACGAAATTTGTGATGCTGTATTTGAGTACACAAATCGACTTGTAATGCTAGAAGGCCAAGAGACGCAGCTGTGGCCTCGTTTGCAGGCAATTTGTCACGCTGTTTCCAACTTCCAGCTGCCCCCTGTCATGCTGAAGATGCACGGCTTTCCCACGCCAACCAGCACTACAGTCCGCATCTTTTCCCTTCTAGCATGACAAAGCTGATTTGTGACCACAAATCTGCATCACAAATTTCTAGTTTGAGTATGGGGTGGGGGGATTTTTCATTTTGATATTCCCGCTGCAGTGAGGAAGGGATAAGCCGATTCTTTTGGAAGTAAGTAGTTGGTTTATTTCGTTTTGGACACGGTCTGTTGATAGCGGATGACGTTAATACATGGATACAATTTACAAAAGGATATTATGCAGCAAACTAGAAGAGAAAAACTTGCCACAACTAGTTTGTTTTTTTGAGGACTATGTGGGAGGAATTGCACTACAGTATGTGGGAGGCTTTTACCGCTCACCTTGAGAAGCGCACACGTCATTCTTTTTTTGAGGACCGATTTTGCTGATTTGTCGCCATCATCCTGCAGCTCGGTGTAGTGTACGTCGTCCCACAGTACTTCTCCGGGCTGGCCGTGTCATTTAATATTGACGCGCACTCATCTTCATGGTTCGCTCTCGCTGGTTCCTTACTTTCATGGATGAATATATCGTCGCGGTTCTTTCGGACTAGTATTGATGCGTGCAGAAAGCTGGAGGTGGTCTAGTACAATGTATTCGGGCGAAAGCAGCAGATCAGCAAGTCGCATGCGACATACTGATCTTCCCCTTTGAAGATCAAGATCTACGAATACGACGGACCGGTGCACGATCTGACACTTTTTTTTCCGATCATTTGAGTGCGAGCGCAGATCGTGCATGCGGTCCTGTGTGATGACCCTGAAGACCCTCCTGCGGTGTGCTTGTCGATCCTTCGTCGATTAGCTTTTAGCTTGTACTATTGATTCTACTGCCTCGCTTTTTGACGACCAGCGACAATTTCTCAATCTTCCTGAGAGCGACTTTTGTACAGTCTTGTGTTTATTATATTTTTATCACATTTTTGTGCTTATACATAGTTCTACCTCTACGAAGAGGATCCTGACGTTCTTTACTCCGAATGAAATTTAGAAATTGAAAAAGCGTAGCGAAACCATGCCAGCAGCCGCGAGCACGACGACTCCGAGTAGGAGCGTGGCCATCGCCGCGCGGGTGAAGCGGCGGCAGGAGCAAACAGCCGCGAAGAAAGCTTCTTCCAGTAGCAAGAGCACCTGCAGCACTTCTGCGTCGACATCGCCGTCCCCATGCTCAACAACGTCTCCACCACCGACAAGCGCCGCGTCATCATCGTCCTCCAACAGTAGAGGGCCGGCTTTGAAGAAGAGCGCAGATTATCCACCGAAAAATATTGATGATTCGGCCGCGGCAAATAAAAAGAACAGCAAGTTGTGCAAGTTTGAAAAGCAGCTCCGCGCCCGGCCGGTGGAGATGGTGCGAAAATTATTGAAGAAACGGGCTGGGTACACCGAGCGGATTCAGGGACAGGTGGTTCTGAGCGGCAAGGAGGGGGAGCAGCAGCCGTCGGGGTTGTATGTCTTGGAGGCAGGGTCATATGCGTCGTATGCCTCTGCATCTGCATCTGTTCAGCAGGAGATGGACGGCGCCCAGCCCTTCTCTTCCTGCTCATCAGCGAGTGGTAGTGCTGGCAGTACTTGTACCACACAGTCCACCTCCCAGGATGTGCTGGTGCCCTCCTGCTCGTCGCGAAAGAAGTCCTTCGACACCTACCTCCCGATGCACCTGCTGTTTCCCTGGCTGATGCTGCTCCAGGATCCGAATTTGCCCGGGCCGAAACGGTTTAAATTGGAGCAGAAGGCGTACAAATCCATTCCGCTGTACTGCAACAAGGTTCTGTTCCAAGCGGATCCGGTTTCGGGGCGATTACTGGAATGCGAAAAGGCGGTCCGGTTTCTGCTGAATCCGGAACAACAACAATTGGGGAAAAATGGTTGTGACATGGCATTGGAGGACCAAGAGGCGCTGCTGGAACTGCTAAACTATGCTGGAAGCAGTAGTTGTAGCAGCGCAGAAGTAGGCCCTCGTCGTGAAAAGTCAACAGGGAAGCACAAGCAGAAGTCATCTTCAAGGGTACTAGTAGATGATCAAAATAAACACGTCTTTACTACTAGCGACGAGGAAAGAACAAGACCAAAGGACGGAGTGTGTTTACCGCGGAAGCGAAGAAAAATCGCGGAGCAGCTACAAGAGGGAAAGGTGGAACCAACAGCAGGAGCGGACAAGAAGGGTATTGGTGTTCTGGGCGCGAGCTGCAAAATGAAAAATGCCACTTGCAGTACACGGCGACCACAGAGTGAAGTCTCCGTGCCGCTCCGAGAGCAATACCCGCTGCCGGTGTGGCCGCCGCCAAAAAATCCGTCCTCGTCCACGAGTTATGTTTCCACCGCTAGTACTAGTAGTTCAAGTTCTACATCTACTTCTACAGCAAGAGAAATAAATGCCCAAAACACGAAGTTGATCATCCGCTGGTGCCAGCCGGAAGCTGAGCCAGGCGACTTAATTCTGTACACGGGGTTTCACGGAAACATCTCCACGAAATTCGGCGTCACCTGTGTCCAGCACGTCGACTACATTCCAGAACAGTTGCTGAGGAAGTACTTGCGAGAGGAAGCAGGTGCGGGCTGTACTTCTTCGCAGAAGGCCGAGGAAGATCATGATGAAGATGAACCGCAGTCGGTTGTTAATAATCCTCCCAGAACTTCTTCGGCGGATATGGATGTTGAAACTGCGTGTTTCAAAACCCTGATCACGTCCTACTGGGAAAAGTTCGAAACCTCCATCGTGGACGTGGGCAGCGGGAGCACGCGCAGCAGCACCGAGGAGAAGAAACTGTACGCGTTTGACGCGTATAAGAAGAGGAAAACAATAAAGAGCCTTCCACCACCAGCAGCGGCAGCGAGACCAAAGACCGAGAGGACGAAAGGGAGAAAGGACCACTTCCCTGTCGGAGGACGAGCAAGTCTTCTCGCCCCGAACATGAACAAGGCGTCATCTTCGCACCTGGCAGCTGCATCTTCAGAGTCAGACTTGCCGGTGCTCTCCTCGACCGTGCGCGGCGCGATACTGGGGTCAACATCAGAAGTTGTATCGAAGGGTTTATTTGCTGGCATTACGGGTACTAGTTCATCTTCCAGGACTGAGTCGCAGCAACATGATCATTCTCTCAAGTTCGACAGGATGTTTCAAGAGCTCAACGACCAAGGTTATTTGGTCGTGAAGAAGGCAGAGCTAATGAGGTTGCAGGATGAAGAGATTTCCCAGAGAAGTAGTCCTAGTGAGCTGCAGATGAAAGCGACACCAGCTGCACCCGAACTACAGGTGGACTACGCAGAAACGGTAGAACGGGCGATCCACGAAACAGACCGGATTTTCAACTTTGTTTTGCAGTATCACAACGTCCCACTGATGATAGAAGCCGGAGATGATGGACAGGAAGGCGGGGGCGATGAGGATCCTAGTGCTGAAGTAGATGGTGCACCAGGAACCTGTTCGAAGAAGATGAAAAGTGGAACAAAAACTACATCAGAGCTAGACAAAATTATCAATCCACCTCGCAAATTCTTGTACCGTCCGCTTTTACCGCAAAAGGTGACGGACAACGACGAGAAAATTTTTCAGGCCATGCTCGACCAAAACGTCTTTTGCGATAAGGGACATCAATACCACGACCACAAGCACGACCAAAAGCTGCGACGAGACGGAACAAGAACAACATCAGCATTAAACCCCCTGCGTAAGAAGAAGAACAGCACTCATGTCCCCCCTTTATTATCCCTGACCAACCCCCTGGACGAGCGATGGCTCTACCTGCGCAGCGAGGAGGACCGGGAATACCTCTGTGGCGACCGAAACGTGATGTACGCGAAACGGAACTCTGGTGCGCAGTTCGGAAACGCGATTTCTGCGGTGAGTCACGGGATGGGGAGAATGGCCTGCGTTTACCGGAACGCGGTTTTGTTGGAGTTGCAGGCGAGCGCGGGTGTAAAAGCGGTGTTCGAGCAGATGTACCAGCGGATGATGGCGATGGAGAAAACTTCTACCGAAGGTAGTCGTGAAGACAAAAATCACGCGTCGGTTGTAGTATCTCGCCACCCCTCGTCGTCGTCTACTACAGCTCCGGGAACAGCAAGTCGCTGCGACCTGCTCCTCATTCCCGAGCGGTTGCGGGTTAAGTGTCGCTACGGTAGGTTCGGAAAGCACGACGGGCCGCCGTGGCACCCGCTGAAGGCCCACCCGATGCCCGCGCACGCGGATAAACACTTGCTGCGACCATAAACGACTGACCGATAGGAACATACGTTTCTTGTTTGGTAGGAAAACGACGGAGTTTACGCTGGCTCTAGGATGAAAGATGAGGACCAAGTTTCAATTCAGAAAGGGAGACTTTTAGTATAGCAGGACGAGCAGCCACAGCCTTGTTGACCCTGTCGTCTCTGCATAGCGACACAACAACTTTTCAAAGTTTTCATACGATCAACATAATCCTGTTTGATCAGGGGCGACGATACGACCACGTGAAGCAATATTTACGCACAACGCGGCCGCGGCAAAGACGGCTCTGCGCGTGACAAAGAGATAAATTGTTGCGTTCCTGGGTAGTTCTTGAGACGACAAAGATCTGGCTTCTTTCTGGATTCTGAACAGCACCGTCATGGATTCAGATGCTGATCTTTTCATCAGGTCGCTTTATTTGCATGGCGACTATGTCGTGCACACAGATCTTTACTATTCATCTGTTGCCACCTATTATTTGCGCGCCGGTACAAGAACTTCATGTTCGGTTTTTCTTTTTCCTCTGAGACAGAGAGATCCTATTGCGTGATTTAGGCTCGCTTCATTTTCAATTTGTTCCCGACGTATATTTGATTTCGAAAGGGACAAAATGGCATCGGCGCCCGTGGGAACTACGAGCAGCAGCTCATCTTCGAGCTCACGCAGCAAGAGTTTTCCCCTGCTGGTTCCATCGCGCACGGAGGCCAGCGTGAGTACGCTGATGCTTTTCTGGGAACAACCATCAGGTAGTCATGATGCCGGTAAAAATGGCACTTCTTCTGCTGCCATTCCAGAAAGTCTGGAACGTGTGGAACTTTTAAAACCATGTAAAACATCAAGTCTGGACGTGGACGAGGAAGCGATGGCAACATCAGCAGCTGCAACCACTGCTGGAGAGAACAACAACCCAGAGCAGAAAGCCACTACGGAAGTAGATGAATCCGCAGTCCATCCGGTAACACTTTTGAAGATGAGAGAGGCCACGAGCACGACTTCGGTGGTGAAGAGCGTTTCAGTAACTTCCGCCATGAGGAACGCGGGGTACATTGGGTTCTACCATCTTATTGCAGACGAAGACTACGAGGTCAGGTTCTACCCTTCGAGTGTTGATGGTGAGGACCTTGTAGTTGATGCAGCAACATCCTCTTCCTCCCGAAGTGGTCCTCCACCTGCAAAAAATCATTACACTTCCCTCCACCTCCGGACCCAAGCCCACTGTGAAGACCGGCCGCTCAAAAACGGGTATTTGCCCGGGAAGGTCGTGTCGCAGTGGTTGTCTCTGTTCGGCAGTCAAATTACGTACGGGACTTACGTTGGCTCGGAACACGCGTCTTTCAGCCAGTTCAAGAGACGGCGAGTCGAGGAACAAGCAGTGACGCGGGTGGAGCAGCAGGTTTCTGCCCAGATGAACCCTAGTTCCAGAGGAGCCACGGGTAGTTGCGGTGGTAACAGTTCCTCGTCTTTTTCTCCTACCTCCTGGGGCAGGTACTTGCAAGAAGCGTACTTCGCGCACAACAACAACACGAGCAGTAGCAGTAGCAGAATTTCACAGCTGGAAGACAAAGCCACCCCAGCTGCTGAGGAAATCGAAAAGGAAAACGACACCATCAACATCGTGGAAAATAACGACCCTTCGGACAGCGATGTGCCCTACTTCTCCTCCGGGTCGGAGTACTACACCGCCTTGTCTTCCTCGGGGGAGGAGCGGGAGAACGAACCAAAAAGGCACGCAACCGATCGGGAGGGAAAACGTAGTGACGATCCAACAGGACAAGAAGCAACTGGCATTACGGTCGAAAACCACCTCAAAAACGGAGGTACCACAGCAGCCGTCGCGAGAAGTGTCTCACCTCCTGTCGTTGCCTCTGGCGAGTCTGGCGTTCAAGGTAGTTCTAGCTCCACTTGTTCTCCCACCAGCACATCAACCAGCAACGCCACTGTCTTGCGACAAGCGACCAAACCTGGCGGACACTTAGTAGACTGGATCTACGAGGTGAAGGGCGATTTTCTCTGGCTGGTCTTTCTGGACTCCGACCCAGATCTCGTTCTCGAGCTCTACGCACTGGCCTGTTTCACGCTGCCGACGTTTTTGCCCCCGCCCACGTGCTTCGTGATCAACCCGGAACAACGGTTCTGTATTGATTTATTGCAACGACCAAATATCAAAGCAGACCTTTCTAGTGCAGCAGCCAATGAGTCAGCATTGGCACTGTGGGGAAAGTGCAAGATGGTCCGGCGGTACGCGAAAGACCTGAGAATCACGGTGAACAAACAGTTTTCCGCCTCCTTGAAAGCCTTGCAAAAGTACCACGCGGGCAAGGTCGTGGAAACAGACCAAAAGGTATCTACTTCCGGGAAAACCGAAAACGAAAGTGAAGGAAGTGGAGGTGGAAGTAGTAGTGGGACCACTAGTACAACCGCAAGTAGTACTACAAATGCAGGATCAACACCGCCCACGTGGCTTAATGACGAGCTGATGGATCTGCTGACGAAGTTTCATCACGACGAACAAGAAAGAAAAAGAACCCCTAATACAACTGGTCCTCCTGCCCCGGACGATCTCGTGGAGCAGTGTGTTTTTGAGTTTTGGGAAAACGACGAGCTCGTGGCACTGTGTGCGGGTTTTGCCGTCGGGAAAGCGTACCACGACTACAGCATGGCCACGCTGTATGGAAGCGTCAGAATCGAAATCGTCAAAGTTGAAATAGTTTTTGATGCATAAAATGCAACGCAAAAATTGCCTCTATTGCAGAGGACGCAAGGGATGCAGATTGTAAGCCTGTTGAGGGGTAGGAATTGAGCTGCTAAAGTAGCATGACAAAAGGCGTCTTCCTTACCCAAACAGCATTAGTTCTACACAAATTTGTCATGCGCAACCTGAAAACTAGGCGCCAACTGGTATCCCTTTTATGCATCACAAATTATTTCAACTTTGAGGATTTCGATTCTGACACTCCCATACGCTGAAGAGGGACAAGCGGTCCTTGGGCGCGATTGCCAGCAAGGTGGTCGGGCACTTACTGCAGAAAACGGGGTTTGAAATTTGGTACTGGGGCTGCAAAATTGGCTACATGAACGACTACGCCAAGTACGGGGGCCGCGACTTCGGACGAGCGGAGTTTAAGAAGCGGTGGTTGGAAGCGTCTTCGAAGTCGTTTTCGACGTATAGTAGTAGTAGTAGTGCTGCCCCCGGTGTTGAGGAGTCTTCCTGTTCCTCTCATCTTTCATCTCGCGTACAGGAAGAGAGTTGCAGTTCGCTAGACGCCGTGATGCGAGTCTTGAAGGCCGGGCAGGGGTTGGTGGCTCTGAAAGAGGAGGATTCTGGGATGAAGTAGGATCGCGATTTGAAAGTTTTCGACAAAAAATAAAAACGCACAAAACACGAACAGAAATAATCACATGATAGTACGCAGCTACGTAGTTGAAACGTCATCGAGGTGGATTTCGCAGAGGCGCCGTATGATGGCCCTTCGTGCGCTTACTTTCTTGATTCCAAATTCGTTGCAGTGGCGTTGCAGACATGAATCACTCGTCGTAAAAATTGTCGATCTGAAATTTTTTCATGTATCTGTTTTGTTGAATCGTGCGAATCGCTTTCATGGACGTGTGTCGTTGTCTCGTTCATGTTCGGTTCGTCTTCGTTCTTCTTCGTGGAGATGACAACACTTCGTTCTCGTTCAGACCGTGCCAGAACCGTGGCTCAGCTCCGTTCGTTCGTTCGTTCGTTCGTCCGTCGTGATGGTTTTTTTTGCTGCGTCCGCAGATAAGTTGGTACTAGCTTGTGATTTTGTTTGACTCATTGGCTTATCGTTTTCATCTCCGCAGGTACTTCACAAGGAAAGGTTGACCAAATACTTTGTCGTGGAGCTCCTACCCGTAATTATGTATCTAAATTGATTTCAAAGCGATCAGTATCTCCCAGTAAAAAAGACCTGCTTGTTGATTTTCGTCCACCAAAATGTTGCAGTTTTTCCGTGTGGCGTTCATTTCTCTATCGACGAGGCTTTTCTTCGGCACGCAACTCTCGACACCCGTCTCCGCGGTCGGCTTGGACCTTCGTCGTCAGCGTCTGCGGTTAGAGGCGGAGCGCAGGGAGCGAGCGGAAAGGGAAAAGAAAGGAGGTGTGTCCCCGAGCAGTTATGTGGAGAAGGCAAACCGCTCTTTGCTACGCAAGGGACGGGAGAACAAAATGATCCTCGCGAGTAAGCGTGCGGAGCAGGAGGAACAAAAAGTGCAGACAGGAACGGCAGCCGACGGATCCGGCACCGGGAAAAAGGACAAGGACGAAGGGGAAAACAAGACGAACGTGCTGCTCATCGAGGGCTTCGTCATTATCGCTGTCTTCACCATCGCCTGCATCGTCATTTACGTCGTGTGTTGCCGGAAGGGCGCGCAGGACCCGAAGCCCAACAAGGGCAAGGGGCAAGCGCTCTTCCCACCGGACGCGACGCGCGCCAAGCGGAAGCAGGTGGTGGAACAGATGGAGCGGGAAAACCAACTGAACGCACTCATCGACACGCGGAACCAGCTGGCGGCCGGTGGACAGCAGCGCCCGTTGTTGCTGCAACGGGGCCCAAGTGTGAAGGTGGAGCACCCGCCCTCCGCGATGGTGAATGACTTTCTCAAGGACGAGCCCAAGTCGGGGGCCGGGGTGAATACTTCTACCGTCGGCACGACGGACCCACGAAATTCCGTTACCATCCCGGCCAGCGCGAACGAGCCGCCTTCGAGCGGCGGCGGCTTGTTTGATTCCTTGCTAAGTGGGAAGCCCAAGCCCGCGAAGAAGCGGAAAACGGAAGACGGAGCGGCTGTCACGACAGAAGCGGTCGTCGCCGACGCAATCGGGTCGGTCGGAAACGTGGCGCGCGTCTCCGGTGTCTCTACCGCAACCTTCGCGAGCAGTGCGGGTGCGGCTGCTGCGGGGACTGCTGCTGCTGGTACAACGTCTACCGGCCGTGTGTCCGCGCAATCTGCCACGGGATCTGCAACGGCTGCTGGCCGGGCGTCCGCGCAATCAGGCGGCTCGGGTACTGCAGGAGCACAACTACCGCGCGGCCCGTCCATGACGGTGAAGCAGGTTGATGTGGTGCAGCAGATTGGAGCGTCGTCGCAAATGGCCAGTCAGCCGCGCGTGTCTAATTCCGTGGCGGGCATTGCCGTCCGCGCAAGCCAGCAGGCCGCCAGCACTACCACCGGGCCGTTTCCCGGCACCTCCTACGCGAACCTGTCCTACAGCTCCATCTATGCATTGCAAAAGTATCGTACTCGTATAAATGCATTACAAATTTTCTCAGCATGAGAAATAAAATTTGTCATGCGGATGCACCTTAGGAAAAAAATTTGTAATGCATGACTGCAATTACAACGAGTGCGATACTTTTGCACAGGATACCATCAAGATGCAGGGGATCGGGGCCACCGCAGCGCACGCGCTGCAACCCAGCGCGTATCCTGAGTAAAAACGTACCCACCCCAGAGTTGTCATGCAAATGCGCAATGACAGGAACATTTGTAATGCGCAGCTCCATGAGAGGCATTATCAGTCGTGTTTTGGAATTTGTAATGCTGTAAAAAGGATGAGACACTGGCTTTCTCGTGCGGCTTCCCTTGCCAGCCAGCACTACACTGCAGAGAGAAGCTTGTCATGCACAGCTCCCAAAACTTGGAGATTTGTGTTGCTAGATTCCCAACTTAACTATGGGGTGGAGACGTTTTGGCTTAGGATAGCGCGCAGTCGCAGTTCAGCAGCCCGGGAACTTCGGTTGTTGGTGTTGCCAGCGGCGGCCCGCAGTTGCTGAACTTGGGGGCGAGTCAGCGGGCGTCGCAGCAGGCGTCGTCGCAGCAAGGAACCGGTGGTATTGCGGCGAGTCAGCGGGGGTCGCAGCAAGGAGTCGGTCCTGCGGCGAGTCAGCGAGCGTCGCAACAGGCGTCGCAGCCAGGAGTCGGTCCTGTGGCGAGCAAGCGGGCGTCCAAAAAGAGCGTGCAGTAAGGAGTTGGGCAACTACGATTGGTTGCTCGCACACAGCTCCGGTCGTGGGCTAATCCGTGTTTTTTCGTTTTCAAATTTACCTTTTCCGCAAAACAAAAACTTTTTAATAAAATAAAATAAAAAGCCTGTTTGCAGCAGTTCTTACTAGCAAACGCAATCGAAAATACTACCCGGACTTTCATCACCACTTTATATGCTTTTGTACATCTCATCACCTAACTTTTTTTCTCACATGAGTTTTAGAAATTAATTGAACCAGAGAGAGATTGTTAGTGCAATTTCGCGTATCCTGCCCATGTACCCCATGGAAGGGAGCGCGGAAGCAAAAAGCACAGCAAGCCCACCCACTCTCGTTAATTAACAGAATTATACGTCCCCCGATGAAGATGATTGTAATTGCTCAACTGCCGTAGGCGTTCTCTAGTAGCACTTTAGAGTTTGCACCATAAGGTCTTCTGTACCCCAGAGGAGCAAAGGCGTTTGAGAAATTGCAAAAGGAATCAACCAAAAGTAAACACCACTTCCCTCCTCCGTATCATTTTTTGCAAGAGCATCCACTGGAAATAAAGGTTTATTGTGCGCATTCCGTGGTTGAAATCTCTTTTGTTCTTCGCCTCCCCAAACAACTAAGTACATCCCTACGAGAGAAAAAAATATCAGTTTACACGAGCGTGTGCGTTATCGTTCTGTCGTTTTTTCGCTGCTGTGAGTGTGTGGAGTTTCTTTTGGAGCCAAAGAGAGTAGTATGAGTGCTTATGAGCGCTGCTCCTTAGTCTGCAAGTAACGTATGAGAGGTCCTCTCCCTTTCCTCTTCATCTTCCCGTTTACCCGAGAGAATGTTACAACCATCGGGCGAGTTTGTTTGTGCGTATTTTTTCGTAGGTTTTTGACTTGACACCTTTACACACTTTGAGAGGACGTGAAAAAGAAAAGAAAATATGAACCAAGCTCTAGTACTGTCGTCAAGTTTCGTCTGCCATTGAGAGATTTGTTGGAAAGGCTTTGCAAAGCATCACGACCCGAGGGAAAGAAAAAACCGACTTAAACCACCAGAGTTGCATGTAGCAAAACTAAAAACCAAAGCAGGAAATACTGGATAAAATTTTGAATTCACAATTTTGAAGAAACCTAATCAACAACCAATAGTGGAGCGTGATATATTGCAAAGCGTGATAAGATTCATCTGTGGGATAAAAAAACGTGAACTACACAACAAACCGTGGCACGACGAGCGCAATAAAAGAAACTCTAAATCTCCCAAAAACCCTAACTATCAACCAAGTTGCTACGAATAAGATCTTGTGCCATCATCTTGAGGAGTTTAAGTGAATTTTGAAGAAGTTTTTATCGATATACAAGTTTGTCCACACCACGACTTTCACTTCGTGGGAAATTACGGTATCAAGAAGTCGGGCGTCGAAAACTACAAAACCAACTCCGTTTCCAGCCAACAGAACACCAGGTGTACGAGGACATCATCGATCTCTCGGCGGATTTTGTTGACAAGAACATCTAGTACTCCGCTGCAAATTTGAATCCGTGCCGTCGTGGTCCTCACCAGAGCTTCTTCACATCGAACCGGAGACCAACGTTAATATCCGTGTGACCTCATCGGACCAGCACACGAAATGGATTCCCTCGCGGGTTTCTTGCAGGATTCGCTGACCAGCGCCCCATCCGCAACGAGCAGCGGCGACATGTCCGGCTTGGAGGACCTGCTGTTCGGCAGCGGCGGCAAGGGGAACAATCATGCGCAAAACGCCGGAGGGCCGCATCAGATTGGGGGTCCCCATGGTGGAAACCACCACGGAAACAACAACGCCCACCCGTCTGCTGGTGCGTCCTCCGACCACGACCTGGCGTCCATGTTTCTGAACGGCGACTGGTCGGGAAACGGGTCCGGGTCTGGAAACTCAAACTCGTTTTGGGAAAGCCTGGGGTTGATGTACTTGCTTTTTATAAATGTTTATCTGATTATTTTTTGCAAGAAAAAAATCTTCGCATGGTGCTGTTGCGGGTGCATAACACAGAGCATGTGTTTCCACTGCATGGTGTGCATGACAGACAGTAATGGATGATTTTACAACTGTTTATAGTATCGCCAAATTTTTCATTCAAAACACCAGGGGCAGCGACTCCGGTAGCAGTTCGGCGCACAACAGTTACAACAACGCGGGCGACAATTCGCACCACAACCCGCATCCCAACGGCAGGTACCACCAGGGGCCGCAGCACCACCAGCCGAACCACCACAACAACCAGCGCAACTGGAACAACAACATGTCGGACTTTCACAACAACAAGCCGGCCTTGCCAGCCGTGTCCTCGACCCTGACCGCTTTGCTGGGCAGTTTGAACAACGCGCAGAACAACGCGCAAAACAACAAGTCGCGGGATCGCGTCGAGCAGCTGATGGTGTTGCGTCGGGTGGAAGACTCCATGCGCAAGGGCGGAGCCACCGATGAGCAGATCGCGTCCGCATTGGAGGCCATGTTGTGGAAGGATTTAGGTATAGATGGTTTCCTATTTGACTTTAGTTTTGATGTGTATTGATCATGAGTAGATATTGATGATGTGAATACGATTAATCGCGCGCCGGCCCTGCGAAAAGCAAAATGTTGTCACGTAGTGTTTTTATCTCGCGACGAGCCTGCCCGCTTTCATTTTCTACGGCGCTTTTCGACGCTATGAGGCAGCTTCTTTGTTTTCTGGCGCCAAGGAGATAGATACAGCAACGCGCCCATAGTAGGTTGTGTTCCTTCTCGTCGCGCGTTGCTGTAGCACTTCTTTTTAAAAGATCTTCCTGCGCCTTTTTAGTTGTTTTTCCCAGTATGAAAATTGTCGCTCCATGTGTTCACTTGCTTCCGCGTAAAATAAACTGTACTGCCCTTCATAGAAGACCGCCATCTCTAATTTAAGCGCACTGCATCTCGAAACGAGGACAATATATAAAACTACGCACGGTTGAAAATACCTCCAAAGTGCTATCGACGAGAGATATGTATTCATTGACAATCAAGGATCGACTTAGTGTGTCACTCGCCATACAGCCCTGTTTTCTCGATTTTAGTGTGTTGTCTTTAAAGGTCAAAATACACTTTGGCTCGCGGAGAGTAACTACGGCATTTTCCTTAATTTAGTCAGATCGAGTAGATTGTTTTTGAAATGATCGAAATAAAGAACGCAGAAGTTGATTTTCATCTTCAGCGCTCTTTCCGGATGTTCTTCTGTAGCAGACTAAAAGTCGCTCGTTCGGATAAAAACAGCACTCTCTTTGACGTTTCTTTTGTTTCCCACATCTTTTCATTTTTTCGTCTTTTGGTATTGAAACTGTTTCGCACTGTTAAAACGATGTAGCAGTGAAGGAGTGAAACTCGTCAAAGTCACGTAGTTTTAGAACTGACAGATTGATAATTTTGTCTCGAGAAGAACCGGCAGCACCAGCTTCGGTGTCCTCTTAAGTAATTACCCTTTGAAGTATTCGTATTCCAGCCTTTTGCTCGCTCTCGCTTCCAGTTGCTGTCTTTGTAGCAATTGTGAGAGTTCTTTTTGTCGTCCTCGCTATTTCATCTTTTTGGGCATAACACCGGCCCGAAAAAAACCCGAGAGTACTGCTGTTTTCTCGCGTTCAATAAATATTGTACATTCATCAGCATCTCGCCGTAGAAGTAAGTTTCCGCACGACAAATTGGAAAGCGAAAATCGCATTATCGAAAGCAGAGTGTACACGAGTTGCTTCGTCAGACACCGTGACTGAATAGTACACACGACGCTGAGTTGTTTCATTGCGCCCATCAATTATACGCGACCCTCGTCGAGAATACTCTTGTGCTTCTCGGCCGCGTTTTACGTAAAAATTATCGTACCTTTCTACCCAATTTTTCATCCTTGAAATGTTTTTCTTCAACTGGAAAGGCGCCATGAAGGGCGGCGGCTACGGCCCGGACCGCGGCGGACCGCGCGGCATGATGGGGAGCCACCGCGGCGGCTACCACAACGGCCCGTACGGTATGGATTCCGGGGACCGCTGGGGCTCCGGCCCGACCTGCCCGCCCGCGGACGTGGCCATCCCGGGGACCGACCGTCACTGCTACACCTGCGCGCGCACCTTTGACTACCGCAGAACGCACTGCGACTCGTGCCGAGCGCCGTTGTCAGTCGTGGACTCGAAGCAGAACAACTGGGAATGCCGTATTTGATGTGACATAATTTTTGCAATAAAATTTGTGATGCATAAAACTGATGATGATGTTCATTATTTGTGATGCATAAAGGACTGTTCTCATGCTGTGCAAAAAAACACGACCCCGAATCAAATTACAGCCTGCGGTCAGCCGAACTGGTTGTGGCGCAAGACGTGCCGGCGGTGCTTGAAGCCCAGAGCACAGGGTGAGGAGAGGCTCGACCGTCCGCCAGCGCCGGCCGAGGTCATCGTGATCAAGAAGGAAGAGTTGCAACAGGTCGCGAGGTATGGATTGCAAAAGCAGCGCACTGCTCGTACTGGTTATACGATATTTATTTTGCATAGCAGATTGTTCCATCTCGTGCCTTTTACTTACTACCCAAAACTGCATGTGACTTTTGTTTGTCATGCTAGTTTACGCTAGAGGCGTTGCTTTTGCAATGCATACCTTGAAGCTGGACGAGCGGCCGATCTGGAATATGGAGATGAAATTGCACAAACCTGAGGCTTGGGAACGCAACCATCTTAAACGCATTTTAGAAATCCTGGAATGCTTCTGTTTTCGGCATGAATTCACTCCGGACAACAAATGATCTATGCGACGTTCCTCTAACGTGAAAGTGAAAAGTAAGATACTTCTCTGCGGAAAGATTTGATTGTGCCTGTACGTAGTGCCACTTGCAGAATCATTTCACCACAAGCATGAGGTCTAATTCAGGAGGTGCGTTGCCAAGCCTGAATCTTCCAGTAGCATAAAATACCACAACGTACCGAAGACTACCCCGGCCAAGCGGGCAATCATGAAGCCACCACCGCAGGTCCTGCCGCCGCCGAGCAAGAGCAAGGTATAAAGTGCATGCGCAAGTTGTCAGTGTGTGTTTTTTCTGCATGACAGATCCTAATATGCTTTTTGTGAAGCATAAGAAGTTCTTCCATGCATCATGTCAAAATTAAACACATCGCATCAACATCACCAAACAGGGTGGAGAGTCATCGTCTAGTTGCAGTGCTATCCAATGAAATGGAGGCAGGTAAATCCGAGACAAGAGTTTGTCTTTTATATGCATCTTCATAAGCATGAAAAGTAGAAGATGTAGCACTTAGCCATTTTTGGATTATATGCAAGACAAATTCTGGCTCGGAACTACCTTTATTTCTTCAAGCCCATACCTGCCGCCGAGGATCCGGAAGTCCAGGAGGAGCTCCGAGCGTGGCTCACGGGTGCTGGGGACGGGCAGGATGAGGGGATGACGGCTGCTACGGACTGTGCCAGCAAGGAGGTATCTGCGAGTGAGACCAGTCACCAGATCAGCCCCCAGCAGAAGTATGGAATAAAGTGATGGAGTTGTTTCTAGTTCTTCCGATCAAGTTTGCCATGGACCGGATACTTGTTCTTGCATAGGGGACGAGATTTTTTAAGTCACCGTATAAATATGCAATTTAAGTAAATTTATTTTTGCGCATGTAGTGCTACTTGTACTTGGAAAACTTGACGGAACTAGAGGCTCTTCGTCTTTGCCTGTGATGACAAACAGGATTCCGTGTGCGGACACAGTTCCAGAAGCTGTATAAAAATTTTCACATGATTTGATGTTTGGTGTTGTTGCATGAACATTTAATTTTTTGACTTCTCCATGACAGAGTCAGTCTCATAGTGATGCTCTTCATGCTCTACGCCTGAGAGAGAGAAAAAATGAAAAATGACTCTCAACAGCCACGGAGGGGAAGCAGGAGGCGAGCTCACCGGAGTTGACAAAGGAAGTGGATGTGGGGGAGGTATGTAGTGCAAAAATCGTATCAAAACAAGACCTCTTGTATTATGTGCATGAGCAGCTGCAGCACGATATGTCTTTGTCATGCGATAGCGACTAAGGTCATGCGAAGAAGGATATGCAAGGTGCAATACAAAGGTCGTGACCATGATGACGCGATTTTTCCTTTCCATACTAGCTGTGAAGAAGTTGCCATCAAGTGGTTAAGATTTTTTCGCAGAAGAGTATCACCTGGAAACACTTTGGGACTTGTGCTTCGTCGACCATATTGGTAGTGAGGTATTCATCATCTTCTTGCGCTCCTACTAGGAGTAGGAAATAAAACACCTTCTGGCAGATGAAGAAGATGAATAGTGTAGCCCAATATGGGAAGATGAGTTGCAAGGAAGTTTTTCCGGTTGATAACGCGCAGGAAAAGAAGTGAAAAACTGATGAAAACTTGATACTGCTAGTACACACTTTGGATTTTTGATAACACACTTTATTCCCTTGTTTGAACAAAATTAAAACCAATTCCAATCTATTACAGCAACTTCACAGCAATTTTCAACAAGAAAAAGACAACACTCAATGACAGTTTGAAGAAAATAAACCACAGCTTACAGCAAAAGTAAAAACATCCTACTTCAAATTTTATCCTTTAGTCAACAAAAATCCACTTCTAATCGGGCTGTTATCTCAACTTACTTTCTTTGGTCACTCTCGAGCACCACGACCCCTTGCAGAAGAGGAGGAGGCACTTATTACTAGGGCATCTTCGAGTCACATCTCGAGAATGTGCAAGATAAAAGAACTTTTCTAGAGAACTAGGTGATAGTTGGGTTTAGTTTACCGGGAGTTTTAGTTTCAATTTTCTTGTGCTTCTATCGAACTACAATTCGTGTGACGAAAGAACAGAGTCAGGCGAGGTTTCCCGCTCGGCGCAACGACATATTTCCAGCACCGTCGCTAGTAATCTTGTTTTGATATGGCGCACCGGTACTAAAAATGTTGACTGTATTCCCAAGGAGGTGCGTGCGATTGCGAACTTCGCATCGTAACGCTTGGGCTTGTCACATTTATTCAGAGAGCTTCTTTCCACTATTGTGATTTTATTTACACATTACAGATTGAGATTTTACAGCAATTACAAAAGTTACCGAGTGTCAGTTTTTACAATCTATAGCATTTCACCAGGTTTCAGTTATTTTACTTTCAAATTTTACACATCAGAAAAGCAGAATGTCACCAAATTTTACAATTTTTAGCTAACACCTCCAAAAGCTTATGCTATCTTGAGAATACAACTTTTGTCTGCGAAATCACTTTGTTGTGCGATTTTGACCACTCGATTGTTTATTGTTTCTCTTGACAAGAACCAGATTTGTTACCCTTTATGAGTTTTTCTAGAAAAACGAAATCTAATTACCACCAGTCGCGAACTTTGCTTTTTTTCACCACCTATCTCAACAACAGACTAGAACCAATACTCCGCTTGATGCTATCCAACTGATTTTTTTTTTAGACCGATACAGATACGAACAAATATTGAATTTGAGTTTCTTGCAAATATTGAATTTCGCACGACCGGATTGACAAATCAATACCCAAGTGCGCCGAGCCAGAATGGAAAATGATAAAGCGATGAATATATTGCGAGTAACACAACTACTATCAAGCAGAGCAGCAATAAACAATAAAACAGCAGGAGGTTTCATGGGTCTCTTTTAGTGCAGACAGGTGCCTAATCAGCAACGCAGCTTCATCGTCATGCGATAACGGAGTACATCACTATACTTGTTGAGGTGGGCTTGACTCTGTTTCACCCTACAATACCATCGCCGAACTACTCTAATTTGGTTCTAATTATTTATTCGCGGGCCGATATTACAACTAGACAGCTCCTTGCCGCAAATATGCTCGCTCTACTGTGCCAGTCCATTATCAATCCACAAGCGAAGAAGTAGTTCGGGCGACACCAAGCGCCGTCAGACAGAGCAATGATTACTACTTTCTTATTGGAGAAAAAAGTAAGTATCATTACTATCGTCCGGTGTTAAAACGAGACTGTCACGCAACGCAAGATAAATTATCCATCTCTACTTCAGTAGCATCACCTCTGCGACTACTAACCACTGTGGCTAATGAGAAAAATGGGTATGCATCAATACGCTTGCAGTTTCGGACGAGACATCAAAACCAATGAAAATCATGTTTCAGCACATATATGATGAAACAACGTGATCTCACTTTTACAAAAACGCAGGGTTTCATCGATCACAATTATTGGGAGGGCAAGGATTGTTATGGATTTGACGAGCACAGGACTCTACTGCGATCCATTTGGTTGAAAGAGAAGTCGCAATTTGAATTGCCGCTGTTGTTGACTGAAAAAAATTTGAATCGTACGACAAGTGTACTAGTTTCTAGAACTTTTTTCTCACCTTTTTATCCCGAAAAATATTTTCTGTCAAAGCGGAAAGCTGGGCTTTTGCTTTCGCCACTACAGAGGCCGCACGACCGGTGGAAGTTGTCACGACTTTTTTGAAGCAAGTGTTCCCCCGTGGTCATGTGATAACAAGTGTGAATTAGTATTAGGCAAGAAAGCCTTTCTGCTTCTGCATCAAGGCGCTGAATGATGACAGATGGCGGAACCAAGACCAGCGCGGGGAAGAAGATCACCTCAGTGGGTCTGAAGTAATTGTACAATTTGTCATGCCTGCTTGTTCCGCGATTTTTGCGTTTAGGGAACGAAATATAGCCAAGCTATCGATCCTCACCCACTAACCGTACTGGTATTCCTGGTCGAAGCACAAGCAGCCTTAATCTGTTGCAACGAACCTGAACCAGCAGTCATTTAACTTCGACATACTACGCCTCAGGAGCATCATCGTATAGTACTCTCAGTCTCTCTGGTCGGAGCTCTCCAATAGCACTACCTTCAAGGAGGACCAACTACAAACTAGCGTTTTATAATTTTCTCCACGCTCCTGCACCAAAAAGATGATCTACTGCAACAAAATGGTCCACCTGATCCTCAACATGAAGGCGGTGTTCCTCCTTCTCTCCATGTTAATCTTCATTTTCGGGCAAAAAGTCAGCGGGGTGTTCTGGAAGACGAAGACAGTCGACCCGGTGTCGTCCTCGTGGCCGGGGGCTCCTCCTTCTGCTGCGGTCCTTCCAGGCGGAATATGTTGCGGGGTTGCGTCTGCGTCGTCGGCGGCTGCGGCAGGTGCAGTTCGAGTAGTTCCTCCGACCACTAGATCGGGTTGGAACTACCAAGCAAGGGAAACAACTTTTCCGCCCTACCTACTGCTAGTACCTCAGGTCGTTCAGGTGGACCAGCACGGGCGGCCGCAGGGCGGCCAACATCAACCGAAGAACTCCTGTTGCCTCCGCTTCAAAAATTATCTCGTCGGCTTGGGAATCTGCGTTGTCGCCGTTCCTACTGGGATATATCTGGAATTATTGAGCGAGGAGCGACCGCCTTGCGGCGACGCCGAGTACAAACTCTTCGATGTTTGGGGTCATCGCTACTGTCTACCACAAAGCGATTTGCAGTGCCCGTGGACTTTTGACGAGCGGATGAAAACTGTTGCACCTTCTGACGTCGTGAGCCAGACCTTGCAGCAGATCACGGACTGTGTCAACCGCGAACTACTGCCCGGGGAAGAAGGCACTAACGCCTCCACGTACTTTCTCGGGCCGAAGGTCGGCTGGTACAGAAACAGGGCGCGGAGCTTTCTTGTCTCCAACATTCCAACACCCTGGGTCGCGGGCTCGACGTCTTCCACCTCTTCGAGCGGTAGTTCTGACCCCACCCAGCAGGCGCTACAACTCGAGCATGAGCTCTGGGAGCACTTGCGGAATGTACTCGAACAAGAAATGCAAAAAAGTGGAAATAACCTCGGAGGAGGTCCTCTGAGACCTCTCGAACAAGACGAAGTGCTGAAAAAGATGCTTTCCGATCTTCTGCCAGAAGGAACATCACCAACCGACAGCTCCTACGTCACGGTCGTTGATGGTGACGGGGTCTGCAAGTCGTTTCTAGTGGTTTGCGCCTTGGACCAACAAGAAGGTTGGGGTCCTTTCACGAAGACAATGGGGTGCGAGCCGGCTCTGTCGCACATGAATAGGCAGGACCGGTCTTCCTTGAAAGAGAAGTTTGGGGTTCCTCAGGGACTCGAATTAGAGCCGCGGCACGTGATCGCGAAATGCATTAAAGATGTGGCACGAGGGCCGTCTACTGCCACTACTGCAGCTCCTGTGACGGCGTGGTCGGATCTAGGACGTCGAGTGTCCTCGTCGGCAGGAGGAGGCGACGTGGTCATGGAGCAGGATGGAAAAAATGCAGGAGAAAAAACGGCAGGACCAGGAGTTCTTGTACAACTGGGAGCAGACAAATGAAAGCCAATGATGGTGATCATATCTCGCGTCGTCGAGGTCGACTCGAGCTCTAATACAGTTCGTCAAAAAGAAATAAAGTACACCTTAACTGTAGACTCACGGTCCTCACGTCGAGCAGGTCAGTACCGACAAGAAGTCCCAAGGTCTACTTTCTGTTGATCGGTAGATCTTGCCACTTGAACACTTGTGTCTTGCCTTTACCCGCGGGTGACAAAAAACTTCTTCCTGATTGTTTTGCTCAATCTTGAGCCAACGGCTCACAACAAAATTATACAGGTTGCATCGTGTCTCACATGTTCCAGGGTCTATCTAGATGTGAATCAACGTAATGAAACCTAGTGGCCGATTGGCAAAAAAACGGGTAGGCAAAAGTAAAAAAACATTCCCCAAAAAACGATTTCTTCATGCGACTCGGCGATATCAGTACGATGTACACGATTCAGAAAAAAGCTCAACCGAGTAGTCACGACCAAGAAGAAAGCAAGATCTTGACCGATGAAGATAGGTGTGAACATTCTGTGAACAACACCCCTCCTCAAACTAGTCACTAGACCTGGTTTTTGCCTGGAAGTGTAAAACTCTGGTCGTGCTCGTTTGCTGTGTAAATGAAACTCATACTGTAGGTAAGATAAATGCTACTGCTACTGATGTTGCTTGTGGTAGAAGAAAAATACTTTACTATGACTGGATGACAAATTTGCATGACAGATCGGCAACTGTTCGCTTGTTTCCTGGACTTCATGAATTAATTTTTATACACGGGAAATCTTCAAGAGTTAATCATACTGAGGAGGAAGTTATGAACTTTTATTGGTAGTGATTTTGTCAGGATGTCTGCGTACTGGTATTTGGTTGACACATGGATTACTTTTATTTCGTTCTTTGCATGTAGATCTTTTACAAAATTGTATCTGATGTCTATGTGCTTGGTTTTTCTCGTGCTATCGGTTTGCGAAACAAGGTCTATACAAGATTTGTTGTCTTCAAAGATTGGCGTCGGTGATTCCTTCACGTCGGGAATTTTCGCTGTCTTATGCAGGCTGGATAAAAGTTGCCTGTAGTACAGTATTTCTCGCGAGCATTCGCTCACTGCGTAGTACTCCGCTTCGGTACTACTCAGGGAAACAGATTTTTGCGTGATGCTCTGCCAAAAAATCAAGTTACCGGCAAAGAAAATCAAAATCCCGGACGTGGATCGGCGGTCTTCAGAATTGCCCCAATCGGCGTCGCTGAAGCCTATGATCTCGTCACCGGATGGCACATGCGTACAGGCCTGAATTTCTAGCGGTTTATCACCGCGGAAAACGACACCTCGAGCAGGTCAGCACCGCGGTTCCTCACGTCGAGCAGGTCAGTACCGACAAGAAGTCCCAAGGTCTACTTTCTTGACGTACAACTTATTGATCATTCTTACGCAAAAGAGGAGTAGTTGAGCGCTTTTTGATATTGAAACGCAAACACAAGTTTTCCATCATGAAACAAGCAGTTTTCGAAACTAAGAGAATTTTTCGTGCTTGTCGACGAAGATGTTCTTGAAACTCTAGATTTACAGCTGACGAGTCTGAAGTAATGGCACAGGTTATCATCCCTGCTTGTTCCGCGATTGCGTTTAAGGGCAACAGCCTGGAAGTTCCTCTGCGCGTTGTAGGGTGTGCAAGATTTTGCTTTGGTTTTGCCATTTCCTCGCCACGACCTTGATCCGTTTCCACAACATGCGTAGATCCATTGATAGCTCTTCAGGCTGGAGCCATAGAAGCGCAACCTTCCTGCTCGGATTGTAGTTGACCTCCACAGAGGACGGCAACAGTACATCTAGATTTGCTCGCACCCTCGCGCATGTGGCATTTTCATTTCCCCTGGCCGGAATTTTTTAGAGGTTCTCGGACGAAGATGGCAGCTTCAGGTCGTTTTGTGTTTTGGCCTGCCGACGGCGCGAAAGGTAAAGTAGTATGTAATGATGTACGTGAATGACAATGATCTCGCTCTTTTTCCTCCATTACCAATGCCAGTGACAACTTTTCGTGATAAAGCCAAAGGTTGGAGCACCGTATGAAATAGTCAAGGAAGTTCAGACTAGAAGTCTTTCGGAACAAAAAACGGCTCGATTAAGTCTTACTTATCCTCGTTCTTGAAAGTAAGTACGTCTTCTGTATAGCTTGAAAGTACGTATTATCTTCTTTATTGCTTTATGCTTTGAGGTCCACTAGCTGTAGCTACCCCTCAAAAAAGAAATTTCTTTGTCTTCGACAGCTGCAATGTTGGCCAGTTCTCGCTGCGCCATGGGGCTGCCTGTGGTATGTCTTGTTACCTTTGGTCTTTGTGGTTGATAAAATTCTTTTTCCCCCCAGGATTAACATAAAGAAGCTTGAGGCACTGTAAACGAAAAGATGCTGGCGCGGGCCCGCAGTTGAAGCAGAACAACTTCCCGCAACAGTAGGTACTTCTATACCCGTGGTCACTATCGCCGCGCCCCCGCCCGGCTACACCGATCGGAACTACGAAGAGCACTTTCAGAAGTTGTGAAAAAATAATTACCCACCTCCTCCCGGTATCGTCGAAATCATTGTCATCTTTGCCCCCACGACGTCGTCCCCTGCGGTAAGGACTACCTCCCAGTTGTGGAACAGCACTAAACGAAAGGAGAAGAACTACAAGCATTGCCGTCGTACTACTACCCAATAAAAGGATAAGAATAAAAAAAAAGAAAACTACCCGCACCAGACTTGTACTTAATACGAAAGACGTCGTCACTCATTACCGCTCAACGATATTGTGATACCCCAGATCATCCTGCGTCGTGGCCATCGATCTACGTCTGTCTCCGATTATCGAGAAGTTTATTACCCAGTAGCTTCCCACCCGTCGCGGCAGCAGTACTTCTTCATCAAGGAACTCACGGAACAACTCCACGTGAAACACCTTTTCTTCGAAAAATATCTGTACCCGATTTCTTCCACGTCAAACACCTGTACCACCTTATTTAGTATTTGGAGCGGCCCTCTGTCATACCCACAAGCTATAGAAGTCGCGACGTTTTCTTCACAGCCAGGAACGAAAAATCCACCGAAAAACCGGTCGAGATAAAAACCGGACGAGTTACGAAACGCGAACACGAGGACCAGCGTACGGAAAAATCAATTTTGCTACACCTCCACAAATATGGATTGTAAAAACGTCTGGGTCTGGATGCTGGGTGGCGTATCATGAGGAGGCCACAAGTGCTGGCTCAGCATGACAAGTTTCTGAGCTTCTATATGATGCCTATTCTGCATGACAAACTGCGTTTTTGCATGACAGAAAAGTGGGGCTCTTGAGTAACGTGCATGACAGATTTAAGAGTCACTCCAGACAAGCATGACAAACTTGCAATCTTCCAGACCCAGACACTTTCGCTACTACACCTCAACAAAAATAAACTTGTGTGCGTTGTACTACTACCTAACAAGCCGGAATTTTTCAAGCAGGAACAGAATGGAAAAGAGACAATCCATCTCGCCAAGCGCCAGCCTCGGCTTGCCGCGCAAGGAGAGAACAACCGGGTCTTACCGCTCTCCGTCGTACAACCGGTCCTCGGATCAACAAAAGAACCGCAGGTTTGATATTATACTTTGCAAATGATTTTTTTGAGTTCTGATCGATTCGGCGTTATTGTCCAAAATTTTGGGTAAAACTAAAAAACGTTTTTGTCGTCAAGGCGTTTAAGGAACCGTGGCATTTTTCGCATTCTGTCATTTTTTCAGTGACCACGACGGCCTTGCCTATTAAAACAAAAACTCTCGTCAGTCCTGCGAAGTCGCGGCCCTCGACCCCTGTTCGGCGAACCCCCACTGAGTGGTTTGAGTTCTCGCGATCGCGGGAGGTGATTGCGTCGGACGAAGAGATCCGGTCTGAGGAGAACAAGTGGAATCGGGCGTATGAAATGTAAAAATGTCTGGGTCTGGAAGATTGCGAGATTTGTCATGCAGATTTTCCATGACCCACGAGGTCTGGAATGCGGCGCCGAGCGTGACAGAGTCTGTGAGGTCTCTGCCATGCCTATAATGCATGAGAAACTACCTCCCAACTTGGTCGAAAGTGGACAGCTTTTGGCACTCATGCAACACAGATTTTTGCATTATTCGGATTTAGCATGACAATTTAATCTTCCAGACCCAGACATTTTTGCATTTGATAGGGCGTCTCCCCGAACAAATCTTGGTCTTCTTCAAGGACGAGGACAACAAGAAGAGTTACACCAAGAAGAGCTGGTGCACAGCAACAACTCCGTGCATCATGAGGACCAGCAGAGCAAGGATGATTATTCTGTGCAAGTGCAAGACTCGGAACATCTGTCGCAGCATTTCGAGCACTCTGATGTTGTGTACGAGAACCGGGGCGAGGCAACTCAACATAATTCTCCTGAGCAAGATCATTCGGAATCGGAACATGAGTCGCAGTCCGAGCACTCTGTGCACGACCAGAGCTGCGAGGAAAATCATTCGGAGCAAGATCAATCGGAACAGCAGCAGGCGCAGTCCGAATACTCTGTGCACGACGGCGAGGCAAATTATTCTGAGCAAGATCATTCGGAATATGAATCGCAGTCCGAGCACTCCGTGCACGATGGCGAGGAAAATCAACATTTTGAGCAAGCTTATTCGGAACAGCAGGCGCAGTCTGAGCACGACTCCGTGCACGACCAGAGCTGCGAGGAAAATTATTCTGAGCAAGATCAAAATCAATCGGAACATCAGTCGCAGTACGAGCACTCTGTGCCCGACGGCGAGGCAAATCATTCTGAGCAAGAGTCGGAGCTGCAGCAGCAGTCGCAATCAGAGCACTCCGTGCGCGACGGCGAGGCAAATCAGCATTCTGAGCAAGATCATTCTGAACAGGAGTCGCAGTCCGAGGACGACTCCGTGCACGACCAGAGCTGCGAGGAAAATCATTCTGAGCAAGAGTTGTCCGGGCGCGGGCACCAGTTGTCCGAGCAGCCAATTTCGGCGCAGCAATCGGGGCAGCAGTCCTCGTCGCACCACCACCAACATCAACAACGACAGACACTGCAGTCGGAGGACGAGGAGGAATCCTCTGTCGCGGGATCCTCTGTCGCGGGACAATTGGAGGAAAACGGAGGTGATCGCAGTAGCTCCGAGAATAACTTCCACGACAACCACGACTCAGGGACGCAGCAACGGGAAGTCATGCAGCACAGTAAGAACAATGTTGCCTCGGTGGATTTTTATACTGAACAAGAGATGTTGAGTGGGGAAGACGAAGATCAATATCAAAATGAGAATGACCACAGTGAAGATGAAGATGACCAACAGGCAGTAGATCATCATCGGGCCGCCGCACCAGATGGGTTTTTATCGGGTGAGGACGCTGATAGAAGCGACGACGTTAGCGAGGATGAATCTCGATCTCTGGTCGGCCGTTCCTCTTCCGTATTGAGATCGGGTGAAGACGCTGATAGGAGCGACGACGCGGATGATAGTGAATCTAGGTTTACTGTGGTCAACCGTTGTTCATCTTCCGTGGTTCAATGCTGCCAGGATAAAGATAGGAGTATCCACGAACAGCAGCAGGAGGAGGAGGAGGAGAGCCTTGATGAGGCCGCCGCAGACTCTACTGCTCACCGGGTTCCATCCCACAACCAGAAATTCTACCGACGACCCGACGAAGGGAAACTGCAGCATGAAGGTCGTGGAAGCTCCTGCGGCGCAGTGAACGAAGATGGTGTTGGGGTCTCATCCTCGGCGGAAAATGATGATAAGCATCCCGTTGACAACGGAAGTGTTAGTGGCGAAGAGGAACAAAGCGATAATCTTGACCATGAACAAGAACGGCAAGTGGCAGTAGGTTCTGCGGACGGTGACCAAGAGCATGACGTTGAATACAGTGATTCAGACCCGGACGATAACTCGCATGCGGTGGCTTCTGAACAGCCTTCCCATCATTTTATTGCGCCACAAAAATCTTCGCAACTACACGAGGAGAAAGAAAATCGCGTGTCCAGCGGCGGCTATCGCGCAGAATCAGAGCCGAATGTCGAGAGCAACGGTGAAGTGGAACCTCCAGGGGAACAACACGGCAACCACGGTCAGGGCGGGTTTCGTGGCAACGATAGTATAAAGATGGATGAAGGAGCTGCTGCAGCACAAGAACTACTATTACATCAACCGCAACAAGATCAAGAAGTGGGTCGTGTTCTTCCGGCTGCACAAAAATTTCAATTACCCGCGTCTTTCTTCAGCCTAGAAAGCGTCTCGGGCTCTACATGCCACGGCAACCCCAGACAAGACGGCCGCAAGTTGTTTCTGGAATCGCTGAACAAGCATGGTGGCGGTGTGCCGACGAGGGAGCAAGGCGGGGGAGACTCAAAAAATGCATTTATTTCATCTCCGCACGAGGACGGCCACGGAGAAGAAAATCAAACTTGTCACCAACAAGACCACCATCACCCCAGGAAGTTGTTCTTGTCACCGATAGGAGAAGAAACTTGTCGCTCTCTTCGTAAGAAAAAGATGTTGTACAGGAACGTGCCATTCGGCGGGTTGCAGGAAGAAAAACTGCTTGAGCTGGGGCAATTGTCACAA